GGCATACGTATGCCACGTGGCGCGCAGCCGTTGGGCAGCACTTGACGGTGGCGCCGACAACCACCGTTAGGGGGGGGGGCGTTGCCGACGGTCAAGGCCGTCGGCATAGATATACGGACACCGTCGGGGTAGCATCTATGCCGCGGCCTCCCGGGCTACGCCGATGGATATGTTGCCGACGGGGCCCGTCGACATAGGCCTGTCCCGATGGGAATCAGGGCTATGCCGACAGCCTGGACCGTCGGCATAGTTTTGAAACCAGGCCGTCGGCATACGTATGCCACATGGCGCGCAACCGTTGGGCAGCACTTGACGGTGGCGCCGATAGGCACCGTTAGGGGGGTGCGTTGCCAACGGTCGAGGCCGTCGCATAGATGTATGGACACCGTCGGGGTAGCATCTATGCCGACGGCCTCCCGGGCTACACCGACGGATATGTTGTCGACTGCATAGGCCTGCCCCGACGGGAATCAGGGCTATGCCGACGGCCTGGACCGTCGGCATAGGGGTCGATTCCGGTATTGGTCGATATACAATCGGCCGGACAACTTCAGGACAACTTCAGATGTATCCCGCGTTCTTCATAGGATCAATAAGCATTGATGCTAGGCATGGAGGCTCTGAAGTTTTTTTTCTTTTTTTGGTTTTTATCATTTATCACTAGTTGTGTCTCATTAATCAGTTTTGCCACTAGAAATTTCAACGGCTCAAAAATGCCATTGGTCGTTAGGCTCTTGCTAAAAAATGACACTGGACATCATTACGGTCAGCTCCAAGCCCGTTTACAATGTTATAATCGCCAAAATACACTTGGACCAACATGTCAGCTTTCCCTCTATCTCACTGTGATAAAGTATGGGTCCCACTTGATCCCAACAATGTTTTAATTTTCCTCTAGAAGTATTTGCTTGCTTACTCCTGACGAGCGAGGCTCACACTTATCATTAAGTGATAGAGAAAACTGACAAGTGTGTCTAGGGGTATTTTGGTCATACGGCCTGGTCAACGGGGTTGACATGACAATAACGACGCCTAATGGCATTTTCGAGGAAACATCTAATAGAACGATGGCATTTTTGCGGTATCTAGTGACATTTTTGTTAAAGCGCCCATGGAACGGAATGGTGGCGTTTTTTAGCAGTTGTAACTTCTGATGACAAAACTAAGTAGTCGGACACAATCAATGACATAAATGATTAAAACCTTTCCTATTTTATTTTTTTGAAATGGCGGGGCTCTGGAGTTGGCGGGCACCTCTCAAGTTTGATCTTTCATTTTTTGGATGGCTGGTGCTCAGAGACATGTGTTGGGCATCTGGTCTCGTACGTCTTCAACATCCGCAGTCTTGCCTGGCTAGCATCCACCTACTCCTTTTCCAGGACAGTTTTGCCTGCGCCGGCGGCGATTCTGGCACTAGGTTGCTGGACAAAAAGCTCTGAGCTCCTTGGTCATGCGCGCATCGTCCCCACGATGAACTCCATGCATGTGGCGGGAGCGGAATCGGACGAGGACAGCATCGCCGTACGTCACGGCGGCTACACCGTATGAAAGTGAAAGGATATGATATCTGAGGTTTGGTAGGTGTGCAAAGAAAGACGAAGATATATGAAGCAACAATAGACAGGTCTCATATGGAAACCCAAGGCACAGATGGAAAGCTACTGGGATACGCGTGCAATAGTCGTCGGTCCCTTTTACTCTTGTCCATCTCTTGATCGGGCAGGGACAACGGCCGGCTTGTACTTTGGCTTGACTGGTCAGCGATGATGGCGTGTCAGCAGGTGAACCGAAGCTTCGGCAGCTGCGATCACGAGGAAGATAGCGTGCGAAGACCATCATCTACTCCAAGTCCTTGAGCTAATCAATGGCGGAGCAGTATTAATTAGGGCCCGTGTCTCATCTCTCGGCCACCGTCTGACGATCCACCTTGCATGCGTGCGATGGATCCAGCTCCAGCAGCCAGCCTTCCGCGTCCACGAGGACGGCCGCGTGGAGCGCTTCTTCGGCACGGACACCACCCAGCCGGGCTTCGACGCGGCCACCGGGGTCACCTCAGGACGTCGTCCTCGACGGCGCCACCGGCGTCTTCGCCCGCCTCTACCTACCGGCTGCGCTCCCCGACGGCCCCGACCGCGGGAAGAGGCTGCCCATCCTCGTCTACTTCCACGGCGGCGGCCTGGTCCTCGGCTCGGCCGCCTCCCAGATGTACCACGGCTACCTCAACTCCCTCGCCTCCCGGGCCGGCATCCTGGCCGTGTCCGTCGACTACCGCCTCGCGCCGGAGCACCCCATCCCGGCCGCCTACGAGGACTCCTGGATGGCGCTCAGCTGGGCCGCGTCGGGGGCCGACCCGTGGCTCTCGGAGCACGGCGACGCCGGCCGCATCTTCCTGGCCGGCGACAGCGGCGGGGCCAACATCGTCCACAACATGGCGATCATGGCCGGCACCCGGAGCACTGATCAGGACGGTTTGCCCGTGGGGGCGGTGGTGGAGCGGGCGATCCTGCTGCACCCCATGTTCGGCGGGAAGGAGCCGGTGGACGGCGAGGCGGCGGACACGGGATATCACATGGAGAAGCTCTGGGCGCTGATATGCCCGGACGGCGACGGTCTAGGGGTGGACGACCCGAGGCTGAATCCGATGGCTCCTGGGGCGCCGAGCTTGCGCGCGCTGGCTGGCCGGAGGCTGCTCGTCTGCTCCGCCGAGAGGGACTTCGCGCGGGCGAGGGCTGCCACGTACTACCGGGCCGTCAAGGGGAGCGGGTGGCCCGGCATGGCCGAGTGGCTGGAGTCCCCCGGGGAGGAGCATGGGTTCTTCCTCCTTCAGCCGGAGCGCGACGAGTCGTCGGCTCTCTTGGATCGTGTGGCCGCCTTCCTCTCCGGCGAATGATCTACACAAGATCGACTTTTGTGGTCAATAATAGATATCTTTTTACCTGTCAAACAGGCCGATGAGAGAAAAAGGGATGTTGTTTGTGATTGTGGCCGATCGGAGGATCTCAGCAGCCATTGATATGCCCTTCTTTGAATATTCAACGACCCACATCTTGTTTCATTCTTCAACAAAGCATCGTACTTTTCTGCAGCAGTGCAAAGCCACGCAATGCACAAAGCCTGCTCTGTCTCTCGTGCAAATCACACAAAATGCTCACTCCACGATATTGCTCGGACTAGGATTAGTTGTGTAAGATGAATAGAGAGGAAGATTGATGGAATCAATGATGTATTGCTTGAGTCTCATGGCCATATACTGGGGTACATGAATATTTTAGAGTACAAGACAAGGTAGAATCAATCCTATCTTATCCTATATTTCATATCTAATCATACTCAACAAATTGTTTTTTAGAGAACATCGTGGACTAACTAAATAAAATAAAACTCTAGCTAACATAATAAGCAAAATAATGATCAATGGAAAAAGAAAAAAAATCCTTTAACTGAGCAACAACATTCAAATACCGATAGACGTGCTTGAAGATCGCTGAACTGAAGGCACAAGTCGCATTTTTAATATCAGAACCCACAACACGAATAGTAGAATGACCAGTCGCTGAAGAATGGTCATGTGCGCTAAAGATAGGCAATCTATAATATCAGCTATGTTCTTTTCTGGTGCCAAATGAACAGCTCGCCGAAGAGCTAAGGCCTTGGTCATCCCCGGCTCGATGTGCGACTATCTGAAATCTGTATGAACCTTCTATTATAGCACAAAGGGAGCTAGCTTAGTTGGTTGCATCTTGAGGTGACGAGTTCGATTTTGCGCGCCAACCACTATTATTTCCGGAAACACTAACGCCCACACGTGTGGGCGTTTGCATCTCGCCCACACGCGTGGATCCGCGTCCGTTTGTAGGTGCACGAATCTTGGCATGTTTGTGGTGCCACGTAGGACTGGGCTGGTGTGTGGGCATTCACCCGGTCGCCCACACGACCGTTTCATCACACGAAGGGGCCGGTGTGTGGGCGTTTGTCAGTTCGCCCACACGCCAGTTTTCATTCTTGCACAAGGACTGGTGTGTGGGCATTTGCCATCTCGCCCACACGCCCGTCTCCTCTCTCCACACCAAGCTGCCAGTTGCCATGCGTTTTGCAGTGTACATGGCAACTGCCCTAGCGTGTTTGTAAGCAGATGACAACTCTTTTTTTTTACCCGAACATGTCAGTTGCCATGTGTTTTGCGGGGTACACGGCAACTGCCCTAGTGTGCTTGTAAGCAAATGGCAACTCTCTCTTTTACCCGAACATATTGTTTTGCCATGTCCCTTTGTAGCGCTACACGGCAACTGCCTAGTGTTCGTAGGTGACAACTCCTGAGGTTTTCAAATCATGGCAATTGTAGCAAACCAGACTATACATGGCAACTGCTTAGTGTTAGTAGGTGGCAACCTCTAAAGTTTTTAAATCATGGCAACTATAGTAAACCAGACCATACATGGCAACAACTGCAGTTGTCCTAAATGATATCTGGCACTGGACCTGAGATGGCAACTGCCCAGTGTTAGTAGGTGACAACTCCTGAGGTTTTCAAATCATGACAATTGTAGTAAACCAGACTATATATACATGTCAACTGCTCAGTGTTAGTAGGTGGCAACCTCTAAAGTTTTCAAATCATGACAACTATAGTAAATCAGATCATACATGGCGACAACTGCAGTTGTCCTAAATGGCATCTGGCACTTGACCTGAGATGGCAACTGCCTAGTGTTAGTATGTGACAACTCCTGAGGTTTTCAAATCATGGCAATTGTAGTAAACCAGACTATACATGGCAACTGCTTAGTGTTAGTAGGTGGCAGCCTCTAAAGTTTTCAAATCATGACAACTATAGTAAACCAGACCATACATGGCAACAACTCCAATTGTCCTAAATGGCATCTGGCACTTGACCTGAGATGGCAGCTGCAGTTGAGCAACCATGGCAACTGTAGTTGTCCGACATGGCAACTGTAGTTCAGTGACATGTCAACTGTAGTTAAACGGACATTGAAGAGAGTCCGGACCATGGCAACTGCGGGGACGCATGGCGACTGTCACGCGGGGGCGTGCGGGACCGTGAGGTAGGTGGCTGAGAGAGGTGTGTGGGCGTTATGCATTTTGCCCACACGTAGGCGTGTGAGAGGGACCGCAAGGGAAAAAAAGAAGCGTGTGGGCGCTAATTGTTTTGCCCACACGTAGGCGTGTAGGCTGGTCCTCTTATACACCACACAAAACGTGTGGGCAGACCCCTTAACGCCCACACGTGTGGCAGTTATCGTCGTCCATTATTTTTGCACTGTTGGGCTGAGTGGGCCAGAAAAATAGGTAGGTTGTTCACCTTCAAGTGGGCTTGGAAAACCAGGACGTGGATTTAAAAGATCAAGCGACTCAATCGAGTCTGAAGTACGACAGAAGAAAAAATCGAATGTACGAAATAGATAAAAATTTAGGAGGAAGAAGCGTTTATCCTTTTTTAATTATTATTATTATTACCACATTATTATTATTATTATTATTATTATTATTATTATTATTATTATTATTATTATTATTATTATTATTATTATTATTATCCCACACATCCCTAACAAAATAATCATGACTGAAAACCTCAATGGGTTCATGTGCATCCCATCTATGTTGCCGCTTACCCTCCTTCCCACCCTTGTCGATGGTGGCCTCAGTGCTCAAAATCACAAACTCACTTCAATGTGGCCAATTCTAAGGTGTCTCTCTTTCTCTCCACATAAGATGAGAAATCTGTTTTTTCTCAACTGGGGGTTTTACCGAGTCATGCATACGTGGTTATAGATGGTTTCTTTCTTCCCAAACTAATTTTGCCGAGGTGTTGATTTCTAACCCCATTTACACAGGTACAAAAGAAAGATGGATCATGCGCTATTTATTAATATTGTCCCCTAAAAAGCATTTAAAAATTGTTTAACTGGTAAAAGAACATCATATTCAGATTGTACACATTTTTTCTAATCAATTTCCATATATAAAATGTCAAAATTGGAGTGAGGGTTTAGAAGATATGAATATTTTAAAAAAGCATTTGAATCATTTAATATTTAAGATGTAAAATAACATCATATTTAGATTCTCGACATTTTTCTAATCACTTTTCATATATGACATGTCAAAATTGGAGTTACGTCTAAAAGATATGGATATTTAAAATAATAATTTGAACTTATTCAATAAAAAATAATTTAGAACTGTGGGTTAATTAACTAAAAGATGGGGGGGGGGTCAGAAAAAAAGCGAATCATTTTTTCACTTAAATTTATAACTGCGGGTTAATTTCTCAGAATCTGGGGGACTTGATTTTGGAAAATTGAGGACGACATACGACTGGAAGCAATATGCACTTTATTATTAGGTAGAGATATATATAGGTAATAGAAATGGGGATTGTTTCTTTCTTTATTTTTGTTTTTTGATCCTTTCATACGTCATGATCGCGTGTACATGCTTTTCTAGGTTTCAATATTGTCTTGGCATAAAAAAAATCATTCATGCAACCTACCTCAAATACAGACTACCAAACATAGTCTTAGCACAACATGTCTCGTCTGATGCAGCCTGCCAAATACAGTCTGATCTTAGCATGCGTCAGTGCATACATTGCTACCAAACAACTGCAATTGCATGTAGTAAGCATGTCTCAAAAGGAAACAACTATGCTAGGGTGGGAATAGCTACCAAACACACCCTAAGAGCATCTATAGTCGGGCACCCCAAACTCCTCTCAAACACCCGGGCAGACGATCCGGTCAGTGACCAGCCAAAACAACTTGATCCAGACAGGCGCCTGAAATGCTCGGGCTGACCGCCACCCCTCATGTCTAGCCCAAATGTAGGATGGATATGGTGAGGCCCGAGCGCGCCCGGGCTCGTCGGCAACGTCGGACTGACGATGGGGCCCCATAAGAAAACATCCGGAAACCCGACGGTCCGACGACCATATTCTCCGGTGGGGTGTGAATGCCGTGTGGCGTCGCTCCAGCTCGTCGCCTGAGGGCCAAAGTTCGGCTATTTAAGTAGCCGGACGACACCCCCGTTGTTGGAATATGCCCTAGAGGCAATAATATTGTATCATTGTCTATCTATGTTTATAATTAAGAGTTTATATTCTATGCTATTACTGCTATGATCCTGAAATATGCAATTCAGTGAAAACTCATATGCACATGTGGAATGGTAAATGGTAAAATATGATTCCTAGCCTCACCTCAAACACTAGCTCAAATGTTGTTAGCGATCAGGTTTTTTGGATCTTCGGATATCGTTAAGTGTAACGATAGTCGTAGAACAACTTTGAGAATATGGCGTTAAAAGAACGATCATATTGAATCGACCCAAGTCTTGTTTGTTATACTTTGTGATGCAATCGTCAGAAGTCAATTGTTATAACATGTGAATTAGTTTCTTGCATTTCAAATTCCAGTAGGAATATACAAGACATGCTTTGAAATTCTTGCAATTTCCCTAGCCATGTGTTTTTCCTACCATGCATTCCAAACATGTCCTTAAGTATTGCACAAGTGGCTGGGGCCATTGGACCCTGAATGTTTGGTTTGATTGGATGCCATGTGGAAGTATAATAGATCGGAAGCTCTAGTTTTATATATTTAGGGATTTTTAGTTGAAGATTTGCATTTAGTGGTTTGATGTTCAGGAAAGTTTCTTGGAATTGTGGTCAAAGTTGTAAGAAGTTTTGTGGCAGCTAGTTGAAAGTTCGTAGAAGTTGAGAGCCTTAGAAATCTTGTTGAAAGTTTGTATTAGATATTTAGATTAGTTGGCAACATATGAAATCTAGTTGAAAGTTTGTAGAAGTTTAGTTGAAAGCATGTGAAGTCTCGCTAGAAATTTCCGATCATATTGTTGGAAGTCACGTGAGAT